TTCAAACGATTGGAATCTTCGTTTGCATCTCGAAGAGGAAAACTCGTACAACCCCTATCATCTCCAACGTAGAATGGTAGAATGTCAGTATTCGAATCGAGTCTCCTACCATTCAAGGGTATAGGTAGAATTCGAATCTAACGCAATTTACAATTTCCTTCGTCCGAGATGTTGCTACGAAGATACCCTAAATAGTATCGTATAAATAAATGTGGATATCTTTGTCGTCCTTCCTCTCTCTCTCTCTCTCTCTCTCTCTCACACACACACCACATACACACGTCTCTTTCTTTCACCTTTGTATTCGCGCATGTGCAAGACAGTAGTAGAAGAGTACACATGATCGTACACATAAGCTGCTTTATTTAGGTCGAGTGTCAACAGCGTCGCTTGCGAATATGCTTTGTGGACTCCTCGTCAAATAGCAGCCGTAAGCACAAAGCCGTCTCCGAGCATCCAATTCGTAAGAGAGAGAGAGAGAGAGAGAGGAAGAAGCAAGTGATGGTGAATCTGTAGAAGGAGAGAGAGAGAGAGAGAATAGAGAGAGAGAATAGAGAGGAATACTCCAATAGGCATTCTTCCATGATCAACGAGTCGATTGAACAGAGATACCGACTACAATTCTATCTCTTCTACTATTATCCGATTCTTTTTTTACTTTTCTATCTCTATCTATCTATCTTTATTCCATTCTTTACTCTCATTCCTATTACTTTATTTTTTTTATTTAACACACCGATAAAAAACTTCGAAATGTTCAATTTATCCTGAACAAATAAGTAACTCGGTGTAACATTAATCGTTATTTTAATAAGTTTAAAAAGAGTAAGTTTTAAATTTTGATTTTATGTATAATTGTAATATTATGTAATTATAATAAATGTATAATTGTAATATTATTAATATATATATTTAATTTTATATATTTTCTTTTAATATTAATTTAATTTTAATATTAGTTTTAACATTATTTTAATTTTATATTTAATTTGATTTTTTTTATATATAATCTAATATTTTTAATAAATATATATGCAAAATAATTAATATATATAATAATTATAATATTATTATGAAGAAGAAAACAAGTAATATTATATAATATTATAAAAATCTATCAACACTATTTTTTCATTAAAGTCTACCAACAGTGTTACCATAATAATTGTATTACCAATACTTTGGATTGAAAAGAACTGAAAGTTTATTGGATTTCTTCTTGAAACAAATAACGAGATAACCAGGACGGTCTTCAGAAGACGGATGAGACCTTTAATGTTAGAAGTAAAAAAAGGAAAAGAGTAAAAATGGACTCGTGGTTATTCGACGATTCAACTCTCCATTTTTTCCACCGTATAGCAATTAAAATCATTTAATCATTTTCTCTCTTTCTTTCTTTCTTTTCTTTTTTTTTTATAAATGAACTACGGCAAATGTCGTAGGATGTACTCTGTAAAAACTCATGCGGAAGTCGTTCAACGGATCGTAAAATTCAACATCGATAACGGCCTTAAACTCAAGCCCCCCTAACGAAAAGGGTGTTCCATAGAAAGGAAAATCTATATTTCACTATATAAACTAAACCATACCATTTCCCTTTTATTTATCCCCCAACAACCCCCCCCCCATTTTAACGATAACAGATTTTTTTTTCTATTGAGTACGAAGCACGATAAATATCGACTTCTAGTGGTATCGTTATTTGTCAGATTATTTCTCTCTCTCTCTCTCTCTCGCAATCACATTCTCGTCTATTAGATGTACAAATGAACAGAGAAAGAAATATGAGTGTAATAAAAAAAAAAAGAGAAAAACAAAAAAAAATGATATCATTGACAGCAGATCAAATAGATTAAAAATATTACATAAAAAGATCTGATGCATTTCATCCGTCTATGTGTTTTTTGTTCTATCTTTCTTTCTTTCTTTCTTCTTTTCCTACCTTTTGCCGTATTATCAAATATTTTAATTAAAGAGAAACGAAGTTGAAAAAAACGGAAGCAGAATTTTATACGAGAAAAACAAATACATTTAACAAGAGAAACGTGAAACTTTTCGTTCTATGTTTATGCTTGTGCCAAAAAAGAAAAAAAGGAAACTCGTTGTAAATATCACATTTATATGTATTTATATTATATCTACCTTATGATATTAAAACACACGAAAACAAAAATACCTATCTAAAAAAAAAATAATACAAAAGAAAAAAAAAAGATAAAAGTAAAACAATCGCAATTTGATTGAAATAAGTCATTTATAGACAAATAAATTGGGGTAACTTCTGTTTTAATCTTGAGAACATAACTTTTGGATCACCAGAGGATTACTTTTATTTATACGTTTTCTTTTTTGTCACTTTTTCTTTTTCTTGTTCTTTTTTTTGGACATCCTAATGCTTCGAAGAATCTCCAAAGGTAAATATTTGCAATGTTGTCAGTACGTTCCCCCCCCCCTCACTGTTCCCTTTTCTTTGTTCTTTTTTTTACCTTATCTCTTTCTCTATTTCTCTTTCTTGATATTTTTCCTTCTTTCCTTCCCACTCAAATCCATATAGATCGTCTGTGGAAACAAACGCTCGAGGGGTCTGTCTTCTCGTAGAAAAACCGAGAAGAGGATCTACAAGAAGCGTTGCTTTGCTCGTTTTCATTCCTTTCCCTTACCGCTGTTACTCCTCCATCTTCCTACTTTACCCCTTCCTCCATTTTCTTCTTCTTTTTCTTCTTCTTACCCATGCACTCTCGAAAGAGTTACCACATCATGGAAAAGAGAACCGATACGTGATTTTAACTTGAAGGATCGCCGTCCAATGCCGAAAGCTCAGCTTTCATCCGTGGTTAACCCACGTTAAAGCGTTTCACGTATATTCGTGGCTGAGCTATCGATCGTGTGTCATAGACGCTGCCATTCCACAGCATCCGAAATTCGGATAGAGAGATTGACGATCTCTAGAAAAAAATAAAATCGAAGGGTTAAAGAAGGAGAGAAAAAATATATTAAACAGCTAAATATATATATATATATATATATATATATAGTAAGAAAAGAAAAGATAAGAGATAAGAGAGATGGATGGAAATATTTAAAAGAAATTGGTTAAAATAATTATTGCAAGATTATTTGCAGAAAATCACGCTTTTCAGATTCTCGTCATTATCGTCATTAAAACATCGTTCGATTAAAATTCAAAGAAAAGAAACCAAAAAATCAAACTATACTTATTTTTCTAATAATTATTCAATACTATTAAATCCTTTAATATTATATAAATCAATAACAATAAAATAAGCATATACCATCACACACACACACACACACACACACATAAAGTATTCTGAAAAATTAATTATAACGGAAAGTAAAAAATTCAATAGAAGTAAACGGATATTAGGTGAAATAAAGTATTAACGAAAAAGCTACGTCGAATGAAAACAAACGGAAAGGAAGTAGTTGAAAAATCAGAATCTTATTTCCAATCTTGATCTAGCATGCAAAGTGGGATAGAAAGAGACTCGAGGAGTTCAGTTATCCATCGTAAAGAAAGAGAGACAGAGAGAATGATAGATGAAAAAAAGAAGAAGAGAGTTAACTGTTGGGATTCTAGTATTATTCGTTGCACAAAAGCCGTAAACTACACTGACCGGTTATTTCGATCAATCCTCCAGAAAGCGGCCGTCCGGAAAATATTCACATCGATCTATACCAGCTGACCTCTCTCTGACCTCTCTCTCTCTCTCTCTCTCTCTCTCTCTCTCTCTCTCTCTCTCTCTCTCTCTCTTTCTATTTTCTGCTCTTCATCTTATTCAAAATATATACACAAATGCACGCAACACAAATATACACACATGTGAACACACACATAAATAATGCGTACATACACTTCTACACACTTAAAAGCTTTCGTTTACTTTCGCCACATTACTTTCGTCCCACCCCCTTCCATCCTTTACTTCTTCCCCATTCACCCTCGTCTCACCCATTTATCCCTTATCCTGAGTCTGAGCATGTGATACCGGATACACTCTATATGATCCACCTCAAAGTGCTCTTTCTTAGTACACGAGGGTCAGACCAAGCGTATCGCTCTTTCGGTCTGATAAAAGAACGCAAAACAAACCTGATGTTACAGTGATAATATAAATACTGACACTACTTTTAAAAAGTATCTATCATATATATATATATTTATACTTCTAAGTTAATATTTTATATAATAGTGAATCACATTGTAGATGTTTTTTTTTTTGTTGCGAAAAATTGTTACATGAAATATTATATTTAAAACAAATATATCTCAAATTTATCTTTTAAGATATTATTTATCTTTCTAGTTTTTTCTCAATATCAATTCTGTTTTGATTTTATTTGATTTATAGATATATTAGGTCATCTCGAAATTGTTTTTGCTTCTCTTGTTGTTAATAATTTTACATAAATAATATTTTTTATTTTATATAAAAATATATAATAATATAAATATATAAATACCTTATATAAGTATTAAATATATATATATACCTATTTAATATTCACTATATATATATATATTTTATATTTATAGTATTTTATAATTAATAAGAATATATGTATATACCTATATACATCTATCTAATATTTATTTTTTTTTTATTAAAATTATATATTTATATTTTTAATAATATTTTTATTTAATATTTAACTTTTATATTAATATTTATTATTTTTATTATTTCATTTTTATAAAATATCTTTTTATTATTTAATATTTAGTAAATATCATACAATATGAAAAAAGTTAAAGGTACAGAATGGATCTTAAATTATTTGGTAAAAAATAAAAAAAATTTCATCTATATCATTAGACAATTAGATGACTTAAATATTATATATAAATATTACATAAATATTATATATATAAATATATCAAAGATGATGCATAATTTCTAAACACAATTAAGCAAATAACCACACGGATGTTATCGATCTTAATTCTATCTCTAATTTAGATATACCTTTGTTTACAGAACCCAAAACTGAGATTCTCGGTGCACCGGATCTTTACATCGATAGAGGCAGTACAATCAACCTCACATGTATTATATTACAAAGTCCAGAACCCCCAGCTTATATATTCTGGAATCACAACAACGCTGTAAGTATTAATTATCGTCGTCTTATAAATTCGTCTCTTGATCGTTTCGTTCATTAAGGAAAACGAAAGGAAGGAGTACTAAATGTTTACAACAAAGCACGTCTTCATGTTGATAAGACGCAGCATCAATTTGAGATAACGAGCGATTAATGAAAGTTAAATTTATGAGTAACGAGATCTTCTACGGTGTCGACGTTAAGCGAGAAAGCAATTAAACATTAACTTGAGTTACCTTTTTGTTATTTGAAACGTTTCCCTCTTCATTTTCATTATAAACATTTTCATGCAATTTCAATAATAGTTGACATCTAACAATAAGAGAGAGAGAGAGAGAGAGAGATATTGAAAGAAAGATATTCATTAATATTCTCCTTGTCAAACGAAATAAACGGAACATGATAATAAATGAAATATTGAAATATATATATATATATATATAAAACAATGATAAATAGAATAGAACATTCTTTATTTCATTAGATTTACCTTTAGGAATATCGTTTACACAGCGACCGTATAGTATCGAATAACATTTGATGATCGGTATTATAGCAATATACGTATACATTTATCTTAACGCGTTAACAGCAGAGATATACGTATATCAACATGGAATTAAAATCTCGCCGACATTCGATACGTATTTCACGGTAGGACGACATTACTGCTTACCCACCTATCTACCCCATCGTGTGCTGCTGGCTTCGAACGTATTTCCAGCTCGGATAACTCTCTATCCTTTCCCCAGAGAAATGGTTAGAGAATGCAAGAGAAAAAAAAAGAGAGAGAGAGAGAAAGCAAATTCAACCATCGAGAAATGAGATAAAAAAAAAAAAGGTAAAAGAATTGGAAAAAATAGAGAGAAGACAAAAAAAAACAAATAAAAATCGTATAAGCATTTATAAAAGGTCACTTTGAAATTAGAAGTAACTCTAGGAGGTAGTTCGAGCCATATCGATAAGGGCTCCGATAACAGACAGTAGCCAGTGGCCACTCTAACTATACTACCCTGTCATAGAGGAATGTTGGACAGCTTGAAATGCTTCCGCCATAGGTTAGTTACCGGAACGGTATTTGCATTTGGTAACTAGGCCGACTGTTGAAATCCGGCCCACTACTGTGTAAGTCCATATGTTCTATTTCTCCTTTCTCCGATTGGTAATAACGTAGGATAAAATCAAGAGCTAATGTAAAATAAAGTAACTTCATCATTCATATTACGCATGACCTGAACTGGCCTGATTAATTACTCAAGAGTTTAATGTAATCCATTTCGGACAGAAATCTCGTATTTCATCTTTTATTTTATTCTATCCTTTCTCTCTCTCTCTCTCTCTCTTTCTCTCTTTCTCTCTCTCTTTCTAATTCTCATAATTACTCTTCTTTGTTATCAACCACTCGTTCTATGTTTGATCGAATACCTCCAGTAAAAGTTTTTAACTAATACGACTTGTTCGCAAAGCTGCCATTAGTAATAAACTATAATGATCTAATGAGAGTTCAACGATACTCTCTTTTATCATATTATTGTTATTCTTTCTCTTTCTTTTTCTTACTCCTATCAGTAAATACTTCCTGTGTAAATAATTTCTCAATGAATTAAAAAGAAATATACAGGGTGATCTGTAACTGGTGGTACTAGCGTTCGTTAGTTAAGTTCGTAGGTCCGTTATAACGAGATATGATCAAGTGCACGCGTACTTTGCAAGAATTCAAAGTCGATTTTTTCAAAAACAAAAGCTCAAACGAAAAATTTTTATTCCATATTTTCGATTTACTTTTTCATGTAGAATCACCTCCATTTCGCTTGTACCACCAGTTACAAATCACCCTGTATATTAAACGAATTTAAATAAGATATTGATATATTTTTGAATGAAAGTAAAATAAATATAATGATATAAATATAAATTTTTACTTAAAAAATATATTAATATAGTGTATTCAGAAAGAACATAATTTAACAATAAATATATTAGTAAACTTTAATTATATATTTAACGCGAGTTTAACTTGTAAAATTTAGTTATAACAAGTGGATTAAACTTATATGAAAATAATGTGCATAAAACGACCGTACATTAAATACTGTAATATGTAATATGTTAATGTGACAAAGATAAAATTCGGTTTTATGTATATATATATATAACAATTTGTTATCCTTTATTTTTATTATTAGTTAAATGTTTTTAAATATTAAAATCAGTTTAATACTCATTAAGTTAGAATAATAAAAAATAAATTGGTTTAAAAATTATTACTTCAAATTATATTATTTATTAATTATAAATTATATTATTTTATAATATTATATATAATTATAATTTATATTGTATCAATTATATAAATTAAATTAAATTATTAATTATATTATTATATGTACATACCTAATAATATATTATATTTCAAATAAGATTAAACAGAAACGTTAAAACAAATATATTTTAGTTTAAACAATCTAAAATATTACTAGAATATAATAAAGTATTATACATACCTTAAATAATTATTAATTAATCGAAAGAAACGTATATTGTTATCTAAAAGCACGAAATATAAATTTGACGCACTATCCTCTTCAAAAGTCACTGTTAGACTGTCCTATTATTCTTTATGAAAGGTAGTTAAAATTCTCTTATTGATTGATGTTTATATGACATATATATAACATTCTTTATGAATACATAGAATATTCTTTTCGTTTATGGCCTTCGGAAAGGTATATAAACAACAATCAATAAGAGAATTTCAACTGACTTTCATAGAGGATATTGACTTATTGTTAGTCTAACAGTGGATTTCGAAGAGGATAGTGCGTTAAATTTATATTTCGTGTTCCTAGACTACAATATACATTTTCTTTGATTAATTAACAATCATTTAAGGTATGTATATATATATATATATATATATATATATATATATATATATTGTGCACTCTAATTAACTATACTAACATTTTCGATTGTTTAAACATACATTTGTATTAAAGTTTCTGTTCAGTAATGATTACGAATTGGATAATTATATCCAATAAAATATCAAATCTAAATTGTTAAATATTAATAGATACATAATTTTTAAACAAATGTATGTACTTTTTATTAGTCTAACTTTTTATAAGTATTAAACTGATTGTAATATTTAAAAACATTTAAACAATAATAATACAAGCAAAGGATTCTCATTGTTATATTAGCATGTACAATTTTAATTTACGGTTATTATGTATATTATTTTCGTATAAGTTTAATTCACTTGTTATAACTAAGGCTTTCAAGTTAAACTCGTTAAATATGTAATTATAGTATACTAACATATTTATTTGAAAATTTATTTTCATCCTAAATACACTATATCAATAATTTTCGTGCTAAAATTTAATAAACGTACAATCGTATACAATTTTAAAAAGAAACTTTAGTGTATACTATAATAATAACAAAAAAAGTGCATTATCCTAACAACGTATCCCATTATACATATTACATATTTCAACTGATTTTATACATTAAAATAATGAAAAAGAATTCGATTAAAATAAAGATGAAAGAATTTCGAGAGTAAATCAGAAGAATGCCCTTTGGGCGACGCAATCGTGGTAAGAAGATGTTCTTATGTTAGACGGCGCCACGATGTCGCTGGAAGGGCCAAAAGAGTAAAAGAAGAAGATCGGAAGGAAAAAAGAGAGAAAAGGAGATCGTAGAAAATCGGGCGATAAGGAGTAAACTCGAATCGTCTCAAGGGAACGTTACGAAATTGCAATCGCCAGCGATATGATAAGGTCGCCTCTCGATCGATCCACCATACCGCGAAATATTTTCTAGCCGCAAGGAATTCTCTTGGCCGTTAGAGAGAAAGAGAGAGAGAGAGAGAGATAGAAAGGGGATGATTCCTTCCTTACGCTCCAATAAACTTCTATCCCTTTGATTTCGATTGAATTTCGATCGCCGATCTTCTGTCTTTTTCTCGCATACGTTCATTTCACGTTAACCGATGGAAAAATAAACAACAATTTGATTTAGAAGAATTGTTTCTCTTTTTTATTTCTATTAACTTTGTTCTTTTTTTCCACAAACTATCGAACTGTACAAAAAATTGCATGCCACATTTCTACATACACTAGTAACACAAGACATACGTGCGTATAAAATTATATTATAGTTTTGATGGTTAGTCAAAAGTTCTCTTAGACGACTTTATAATTTTATCTATAATATTAATAAAATTAAGTTACGTAAAACTATTAATATTTCAATAAATATCCAGTAGTTACATTTTTATAATTTAGATTAATTTTATTGAAACTACATATGTATACCTTTCTGTTATGTGTGTTTACGAGTATATTTTTTATTTCTTAATTGTTACTACACATTTTTTTAAATAAAATTTAAATTAACAGATTAAATACATTTAAGAATTTTTGAAGCAATCCATTTAAATGTATTTCATGTATATATGTATTTTGAAGTTAAACGTATAATATACTAAGGGTGCCCCGCCACGCGTTGCTGTGGCTCACAAACAGTCCGATACATACGTCTTTAAGTCAACGTATTACCTTATACCGTCATCTGTTAGAATCTTATCGAACTAACAGAGATAATCATGACTCTTTGTTAATAAACAAATAATTTGCAATAAAATAATATTGCGATTATAAATTGAGATATCAACTATCCTATCTTTCAAGTTGGATGAAACTGCATACAGTGTGAAAAATTTTATTAAAATCGGTTCAGTAGTTTAGGAGTCCATTGCGGACAAACAACGTGACACGTAACTTATATATATTAAGAAGATATTTAAATTAAAATGTAAAAAGATTTTGTGTACAAGTATCGAAACGAGATATTCGCCTAAATATTTTTCTGAATTTTTTATTTAATTCAATAATTTATTTTAATATTGTATATGGTCCAACTCAAACTACTTTTTGTACAAGGCAATATTTTTTATTCTGTTATCGTACTCGTTCTATAAGAAAAAAGTTT